TCATCGTATCAATGCATGACCGGTTGGATCTTGCCGATCATGTGCCGATATGACTTTTTCCAACTAGAGCTGGCCGCATTTGGTCATCAACGACGGCCAAAGATACGGCTGTCGTTAATGGTCAACGAAGACCATATCAACGGCCAGATCTTTGGCCGTAGATTTAGCATTTTCCGGCGTACTATCAGCCAAATTCAATCGTTAGTACGCCATTACACCAGATTCCGACCAGCTTTCGACAGTAGTGGCTGGAATCTGGTAAATGTGGGTTGCTGTAGTGTTTTTACAATTTCTAAAAAAAATTAGGGGTGTTTAGTTAAATTAGCAAATTTAGGAGGTTTTAAAAGAAATTGAATAATAAAAAATAATAGTTTGAGATATTTAACTTTATTAGGAAAACCAAGAATAACTTTGGAAGAGTATATCAAAGGACCCTAAATCATCCTATCAAATGTTTCCAACAGCAAAGAAATATCAATTAAATTTGCTATTTATCACATTTAACCAGTGGATAGAAAACAATAAAAACTCAAACTTAAGTATTCACATTATCACAGCAGTACCTCTCCCTAGCAACAGCTCCAGAACAAGTTTCACTTAACTATTCACAACAGCACCTCTCCCTAACAGCAGCTCCTGTACCTCTCCCTAACAGCAGCTCCTGTACCTCTCCCTAGTTATTGAGCAAAGAGCAAGGAGTCTCTAATGACTACCCCACAAGTGAAACTTGTTCTTCGACTTATCAGAATCATATGCACACTGATAACAACAAATACAGAGTCATTAAATCCTGAATTCCCGAAACCTGAAACAGGTGATATATGATATAAACTGTCAAATGTACCTGAGCCACTCTAGCAAAAAGATAAAGAGCAAGCGTTCTTCCCAATAATTACAAGCAACAGTAGAAAAATTTAATTCAAACAATGAAAACAAATCTTTTACACATAAAATAAAGAGAGTTCAATAATAATTAATCAAGACAAAGAAAACTTGAGATAATTATTTAAAGAAATTAAAGAGAGTTGACGACAAGAAGGATGATTGAAAATTCAGACAAATTATTGATTGATTAATAATGAACACACAGTTTAACTATAATAATAATGATAAAATTTATTATACCCCAAGCTGAAAGATTCTATGCTCCATCTTTAACTTTTGCTTCAGTTCTGAATTTTTAACTAGATAAAAGAGATTAATTAACTAGTGAATATAAACACAATTCACTTTACAATTCCCTATGAAATATTGGAAAAGCCGATGCCAGAAAAATGAAGCAAACCCAGATTCAATTCACAGATCTTAAATCAAAGAAACAGAAAACCTCATTTCAATTCACATATTGAAAACAAGAAAAAAAAAATCACCTGGAAACCTCTTCCCACAATGGACCTTTAACCCTGGCATCTCGAAAGGCCACGTCCATGTCTGACCTTATTTTAAGAACTGCAACAGTCTCTTGTCTCGACCACCAGTTTCCGCCAAAACTCCGTTCACTTTCATCAAAATGTTGTTGAAGATCAAATTCAACTATTCTTGAATCCATTTGTTTCCTTCCAAATTTAATATGTTAGCTTTTGTATGAGAGAAAAACTAGGCGACCTTTTAGTCGGTGTTGTAAATAGCAATTAGAGTCGGTGGGTGCATGTTTCTTTGCTTTTTTTTCTTTTGGTCTTCAATCTTCAACTTGTTTAGGAGTCGATGAACGATTGGGAGTCAAAAAGTAATTAATCTCTAATTTCTTCATGTTATCTGATGTGAGTTTCTTCCAAAACCAAAACCCTCTTCAAATCAACTACTCCAAATCTCTTTGTAACTAATTAGAATATTGAGATTTCAATTTCTCCCCAACTCATTTCCCTGCAAAAATTTGAAACTGAAAATAAAAAGAAACCCAAAGTTCCAAACATGAAAACCTATAAACTCCACATCTTAGTAAATCCACAAAACCCATATTTCACATTAGCCTAGTTAGTAAATACGGGTACGGCAAAAAAATGGTACGGGAATTATACGGGTATAATACGGTAAACGATGAAAAATACGTTTATAAAAATTCGGCCATAAAATTCGGATACGGGAAAAATACGATACGGGTATATACGGGTTTAATACGATGCATTGTCAATAATACGTTTTGAAAAATACGGCAATATCAATCTTAGTTTTAACACTTTTATGGACTACGTAGTTAAAATCAACAGAACATTTCAAATGCAAAGTATTCAATTAACCAATAACACTAATACACAGTATATAAAAACATCTAAAATTGACATCAACACTTCACATTACACAGATTATATAAAAATATAATATAGATATGAACTTAACAAGGTACTGAAAATTTTTCACAGGCAAGCAGCTACCAAAGTTTTACTGCTTGGCTTGAGGGAGAATGTTAGAGTATTACAAGGCAGTTGGAGTTTTACAATTGATCAATGGTGGAGATGCTAGAAGAATGATCAACGGTGGAGATGTTATTTTGTAAAGGATGGCCAACGTGGCTGATGCTTGTATAAAAGAGATTTAATATCAATTGAAAAAGTTAAGCAAATAAAAAATAAGTTTTAGGTCTGGCAAGATTCAACATTTTCTCTCTCTCTCTTTCTTTTCTGAAATTTCTGTTTGGTTCTTGAGAAAGTTTCGCAACTTTCAAATCTTTTTCTTTTTCTTGATCCTAGGACTCTATTACTTTGTAGAGCATGCTGCTGCTGTTCTTACACTATATGCCTTTAGCAAACTACAAGAAGAGCTTGTTTTGGCTCCACAATATGCATCACTTATGGTGGATCAGACTTATTTTATTGTGAGACACCATACAGACGTTGATGGAGGGTGCAAAGTAGTCTGGATCCCACATGATGACTTCATTAGATGCAGCTGCCATTTGTTTAAGTTTTCTGGAATCCTTTGCAGACATGTTCTTCGTGTTCTATCAACGAACAACTGTTTCCACATTCCAGACCGTTGTTTGCCCACCCGTTGGCGTAATATCAACTGTTTCCACATTCCAATGATGGGAGCTGATGATTTGAATAGAGATGGGCTGAGTTCTGCAGGATGAATGTATATGGGTAGAAGAAATCTGGGCTTACGCTCATACACAAATATTAGAAACTTTTTTTCCACATTTTTTTTCCACTTCTTATTTGTAGAAGAACTGAGGAAGATAAGCTGAAGAAGAACTGAGGAAGAAGAACTGCTGCTGGCCGCCGAAGAAGAACGACTGAACCAAATCTGTTTTAATTTTTTGTATAAACCCACCAAAACGACGTCGTTTTAGGGGTGTGAGATTTTGTTTTTTTTTTTTTTCAAAAATTCGCGAATAATTAGCGAATTATACGCGAATTATACGGGAACCCTTATTATACGCGAATTATACGGCAGATTTTATAAAATACGTATACGTGCGTTTTATACGCGAATTATACGGCTGTCCGTACAATTCGCGTATAATACGCGTTTTTACTAACTAGGGGACATTAGTACTTGCACGAGGAATATGTGTTAGACTTTTTATATTATGGTCCTACACTTTTAATATAATTATATTATGGTCCTACACTTTTAATATAATGTGGATTGATGTGGTCATACGGTTTCTCTTGGGTAGTTGTCTTTGATAGAAAGACAACTACATATAAAAAAAAGACTTTACAGGTCTTGATTAGACGCAATTTTCATTTGAGATTTCCAAAAACCATCATTCTAAAATTGTAGTCAATGGAATATGTTGTATTTTGAAGGAGCAAGAAGATTAAACAACAATTGCTATGGTTTGAGGTTTGTCATTTACTTTCGCATATATTCTATGGAGATTTTATGATGAAATTGATTGTATTATCAACTTTTATATGAATATTAGAATATGAATGTATTTTACAATATGCATAGAAAAAAAAAAAAAGTAAAACCTAATAAAAAATCAATTATACTCGGATATATAATCACTATTAAAGTGAAAACTCAACAACCTAGTTGAATATTTGCTAGAAAAATGGATCTATTTTATGCAATGTACCTGTTTATGATGAACGGGTGACTCCTGTGACTTTGTCTCTTGGATTTGAGGTGTGATATGATTTGATCAAGTAGATAAGAAAGGAGAGATGATCTGATCATAGTAGATAAGAAGGAAGGGTGGGAAAATGATATTTTAAAACTTTTTGGGTGGGAAAATGTCATTAAGGCAAACCTTGGGTGCGAAAAAGCCGTTTACTCATATTATAAATCAGACGGGAATGAAAATCAAGTTCTATTTTGTTTTTTATTCATTTAGTTTTAATAAAATCATCCAAAATAGAACTCGTTTACTAGGCCAATGCTTGTTAAACAATGATTGCCATTGAAGGCCCAACTTCTGATTCAGCTACAACACAACCCCCCCCAAAAGTAGAGGCCTAATAATAAGACAGTAAATGGGGTGCTTGCCACCAGAATTGCCTTGTCACACCCAAGAGAAACAACACATCTGTTTCAAAGGTAGCTCGTTTTACTTTTACTGAATCAATGTGTTTTTCTCGTTTTATTTTTTATGTTAACATCCATACATTTTGATTCTTTCTCAGTGAAATGCTTCGTTTTATTTTCGTGCGCATGTGTATATTTAAGTGATGGGTATTTTAGATAATTTTTAGTTGAAGTGATAAATTGGTTGCTTTGTTAGTTTGTTTTCCATTTCACCCCAACTTGACTTGGGAATTTAGTTTAGACTTTAGAGTATTTGCTGAAGAGGACATTTTGATTTTTGGTTGGGGTTGGTTTTGTTTTAAAGGAGATGAATAGTTTTCTGAGACTGAGAAGAATGGATTTTGTTGATGATTGGTATTTAGGATTTGAATGAGTTGAATATTTGAGATTTGGTGATTTACATTTGTTATTTTGTTTTTTCAGACGTCGTAATTTTGATTTGTTACCGCCAGCTCGACGTTGAAGATTGTGTTGGGTTTTCAACCGTTTCTTCCTTTATTTGTTCTGGGATGCCAGATTTGCCCATACGGCGTTAAAACAGTAGTCCAAGATTATTTACGTCTGTCATGTGACAGGATCGAGGTGTTCTCACCTCTTAACTCTCTTAAGTGCTATTGGAAGCCCAATGAAAATAAATTGCATGAGTAGCTCATCGTCTCAGACTCTCACTGGGCTGATCTACTGATGCGTCTCTTGTCTACCTGCGTTTCGAGTAACAGCTTTTGCCACCAACAGCAATTTTCGTTGGAGATAGAACAGTCCGTCTAGAACCTTTTAATTTACAGTAAAATTCATCAAAGCTTCAAGAACAAGACCCGGGTTAGGTTTCCTTCTCATGGCCACTTCTTCATTCAATTAGAATTTACGATAGCTGGTACGATTTCATTTACCCTTGTTCTGATTTGGCTCCTCCCATTCTTTATTTATATTTCCATAATTTTGGTAATCAGCTAAATGATGAATTGCAGGCTAGAAATTGGACTTCAATGGCTAATGAGAAGCATAGGATTCTGATGGTCTCTGATTTTTTCTACCCGAACTTTGGTGGAGTGGAGAATCACATTTATTATCTGTCACAATGTTTACTCAAGCTTGGCCACAAGGTCAGACTATACCCTTCTGTTTCTCTTTGTATCTGTAGCTATTAGATCTTTAATGATATTCCAGATACATCATTTAAAAAATAAAAAAAATAAAAACTCCCTTGAGCACTTTTTGTAATTATCTTCCTGCAAATCAAATGGGTTGTTATTGTACATTCTTGATTGTCATTTTTTAGAAGAGTTATTTATTATATATATGACAATTCAGGTGGTGGTTATGACTCATGCTTATGGAAATCGCTCTGGTGTGAGGTACATGACGGGCGGCTTGAAAGTTTACTATGTACCATGGAGACCATTTGTTATGCAAAATACATTACCAACCTTTTATGGGACACTTCCAATTATCAGGACGATCCTTATTCGAGAAAAAATATCTCTGGTGCATGGACATCAAGCCTTCTCAACCCTTTGTCATGAAGCTCTGATGCATGCACGCACTATGGGATACAAAGTTATTTTTACTGACCACTCACTGTATGGTTTTGCTGATGTGGGAAGCATTCACATGAATAAAGTTTTGCAGTTTACTCTAGCGGATGTGAGTCAGGCCATTTGTGTTTCTCACACAAGCAAGGAAAACACAGTGCTAAGATCTGGTCTGCCACCAGAAAAGGTTTTTGTAATACCAAATGCTGTGGACACTGCTATGTTCAAGCCTGCCCCAGTGCGACCTGGCAATAATGAAATTATTATTGTTGTGATTAGTAGATTGGTTTATCGTAAGGGTGCAGATTTGCTTGTTGAAGTCATTCCAGAAGTCTGCCGCTGCTATCCCAATGTGAGTAATTTGGACCATGATGTTGCTTTTGGATTTTGTTTTACAATCTTATGCCTTTCTATCACATGGATTTGTTATCTTGACATGGGATGACTGGGAACTAAGCGTTGTTTCATTTGCTCTTTGCATGTTGGGTCCTTGCTTTTGTACCAGTGAATTGGCAATAATAAGGCACTTCAGAGTAGGCATTACTTAGCTTTGAATTGTCCCTGTAGTCAAATATCTTATTGCCAATTTTTTATTGTCTATTCATCGGATCCTTTTGTGCATAAAGTGGTTTTCCTACCTAATTCTAAATAAGATGAAGGTTCCTCTATCTTGTTCGTATATCAACAGCTATATCGTAAATAATTTGTGTTTCTTTAACATACTGAATGATTTGTTAGATATTTTCTTCAGCACCTCAAGATATCAACAGATACAATTTTTCTTTTCTTGGGATTGTTAAATGTGCTTTATGTTTGTTATTTTTTTGAAAGCATGATTGATTACTATCTTGTTAGTGTTGACTATTAATTCAGGAATAATATTTGTGTCATCAGTTATGTTTCATGGAGTCTTTTGTAATGGGAACGGAATGTATATTAAGCCAATGGTAATACGTTGATAAGCTGGGTGTTTGATGTTTTCAGCAGCTCACATTTGTTTTCTTAAGTTATAGGGCTATAGTCAAAGTGTACAGTGAATTGGAACTTTATATATGGCACCATTGGATAAATTCTTTTGTCAAACTTGTGGATAATACTATGCCAGAGTTCATATTTCATAATGTCTCCAATTTGTCCTGTTTAAGTAAGTGTATTTTGTTTTTTGTTCTTATTTTAATTTAGATATGGACTTTGATGCATACACTATTATGTTCTGAGATACAACCAGTGCAGTGGATATGATCTAATTGTTTTTCTTTTTAGTTTGAACATATTGAACAGGAAAGTGCTATATGTTTGGTTGAACTTAATGATTTGGCATTTTAAGTTGTTATGCACTCTACAATCTCATTTGGAAACACATTTTAAGGTTCATTTCATTGTTGGAGGAGATGGACCAAAACGTGTGCGGTTGGAAGAGATGAGGGAGAAGCATTCTCTTCAAGATCGAGTTGAAATGCTGGGTGCTGTACCACATGCTCATGTACGGTCTGTTTTGATTTCTGGCCACATATTCTTAAACAGGTGAAATTCCTATGGATATATCTTTATTATTGTTTTTTCTTTTTGAGCTGCTTAACCAACTTTCTTGAAATCATGATTATATATATCATCTTTAGTTAAATATAAAGATGAAGCAATTAATCTTTCTGGATTGAGAGACCTTATTTTTATTTTTTCTTGTTGATTGTGTTTTCTAATTTTTCTCCTACCTTCATGACAGTTCTTTAACAGAAGCCTTTTGCATAGCTATATTAGAGGCTGCTAGTTGTGGATTATTAACTGTCAGTACACGTGTGGGAGGTGTTCCGGAGGCATGTATCATGAGATGTCCCCTGTACCTAGTCAATTTTGTTTGTAATATCTTGGCAATGATGTTAGAATAATTAAAATTTCTGGAAATCTTAAGCTGTTAAGTTAACTAATTATCCCCCTTTCTATAGGTTTTACCGGATGACATGATTGTACTTGCTGAACCAGACCCTGTTGATATGGTACTAGCAATTAGGAAGGCAATATCTATACTCCCTAAGATTGATCCACAAGTTATGCATGATCGTGTGAGTAAAATTTATTTAAAACAATTTATTAATTTCGAGAATTTGACTTCTTGTGAAATGAACAAAGGTTTGTTTGATTTTTTCCAGATGAAGAAACTGTACCATTGGCAGGATGTTGCCAAAAGGACCGAGATTGTGTATGACCGTGCTTTAAAATGCTCCAACCAAAATCTTCTGGAACGTCTTTCACGGTAATGCTATTAAAAAGTTTCATTTGATTAGATGATGCTCATACAAAAGTTTTGTGCAACAAATCTTTTTAATGAATTTAGTGTGGATATGCTGTGAATCATCATGATGACTACTTGTTTAATCGTTACTTGAAAACTTCAATATAAATGCCGCATAAACAATGGACGTAATTGTATTTTTAGTTCTCCTGTACTGTGAATTCAGAAGGAAAACTTAAACTAAATTTATCATCTTCACCTTAAGGTACCCAGCATAGTGTTTGGTCACCAAATGAAGTCGTTACTTTTGGATCACATCATAAACACAGAGCTTACTTTTGTATATGCTCACCTCAGTACCTAAATTTTTTGTTAAATCACTTTATATCATTGAGACAGTCTATATGCTGCTGAGAATATAATGTTTGTCAGGTACCTCTCCTGTGGTGCTTGGGCAGGAAAGCTTTTTTGCTTGGTTATGATCATTGATTATTTGCTATGGCGTCTATTGGAATTATGGAAGGTAGTTTATCTCTTCCTTTATTATGGTCTTGATTGGCTATCCACATGATCATGTTTTGCATCTACTTCTCTTTTTTTTTTTTTTTTTTTTTTTTGTGCATATCATGTCAGCCTGCTGAGGATATTGAGGAGGTTCCAGATATTATTCTACCCATCATCAAGATGGAGAGAAGTTGCAGGATTTCACGAAGACCAAAGCCTGAGATGATTTTTTTTTAGGCTCCATTTGGATGTCTGAACGGACAAGGACCAACCAACCAGATTCTTCACAGGAGTTTCTTTGGACTACTATATTTTTCTTGACTCATACAGCCTAGCTTCTTATACCAAGAGTCCAAATGACGGTAAGTTTAGCCTGGGTGTACTTGTCCAATGTGAATTACTTATCATAAGTGGTTTTAAATCGATCCTTAATTATTATAGGTGATAGTCCAGGCCTTGTTTCAGATCACTAACAGTAAATGTTTAGCCTAATTTCTGGAAAAAATTGAAGTCACATTTAAGGCTGTAATTGCCTAATTGGTGACAGAGCCATGTATAAATATTAAATAACAGATTTGTAGATACTTGAAGATGAATAGAAAATGCCAGATTGCAGAATCATCCTTTGTAAATTGTAATCTTCTCTATAAAATTTGAATCAGCCTTAATTTTTGTTGGTTTTAGACATTGAGGGTAAAGTTGAAAATTATTTATCAAATCTATGGATTGTATTCATTTAATCAAACATGAATGCATGGAAATTTAAATTAACAATCCATGAATTTTATATTTAAATCAAACAATGAAATTTATCAATACATAGATTTTGTAAGGATTTTGAATCCATGGGTTGTACAAAATCCATAGACCTTAAAATCCCTCGATCCAAACAAGCCTTAGTTATGTTCAACTTTATGGGTTCTTGTATTTTCACTCAATACTATAAGGGCATGTTTTATTTATCAATAGAAATTTGACAGTTTCACTAACAATTAAAAATAAATAAATAAAAGTATTCATTATTAATTAAATTATACACTTTTATTTTTTTAATTAAAACCATGCATTGGTAATCCTCCCCTACTTTATTTTTGGTATCACTTTAAAATTCAAATATGTGAAGGTGGTTATTGCAAAAACAAAATAATAAATAAATAAAAAGGTTAAAAATCTTAGATGTGGAAATACAAATCTAATACAATATATGGAGGTTTAGATATATGTATCTAATTCAATAATCTTAATTTCTTAAAAGAGTAAACAACTTTTTCTCACCCAAATAATGGTTTAATGATACTTTCTCACCCACAGACTTTTAAAATATCATTTTACTACTTAAATTTATATTTTGTTTCTGATTTCGATATCATTGCAACCCACACCATCACCATTCTCTTCCCCGACCATCATTCACCAAAACCCTTCAAACCCTACTCCCTCTAACTCTGTCAATCATCGGTAATCGAACGATTAGGATTTACACAACCACCCCTCTCAAGTCAAATTCCTATCAATCTCAATCACTAAAATTTAATCTTCCACCACCAAAAGACTCATCGGCCTCCCCTCTTCAAAAACTCTAGCAGTCTGAACCGAATTTATTTTCTATTCACCATCAGAATATAAATTTGGGTAATAAAATGATATTTTAAAAGTCGGTGGATGGAAAAAGTGTCATTAACCCATTATTTGAGTAGGAAAAAGTAGTTAACTCTTTCTTAAAATATAAAGATTTAATAAGTTATCGATTATAATCTTAATATTGTGCTAAATGTAATGGTCTCAGGCATTGTGTTTATTATTATCTCTGTTATTTGTTATTGAGATCTTGCTCTTAAAATTAATAAAGATGATTATATAGTGAAATTTCTCAACCATTATAATAATAATACTCTTTTATTAATTGATGGAGCATCATTAGTTTGAAATTACTATTCCTGAATTGATATGTATAAATAAGCTCTTACTTTTCTTTTTCTATATAGGGAGAACGACTTACACATACCCAAGATTTATCGTAACGACAAGTTGGTATCCAAAAGGTTTTGAAATGACAAATAGGTACTTTCCGTCATGTTCTGTTAGTGATTTCTGTTTATTACTGTTTATTAATAGTGAAAAGACTAAAATGCCCTTAAAAGTTTGATTTTAGTTTTTTAAAAATTTGAAAATTTCAAAAAACCCCCTAAGTTTACAAATTTCACTAAATACCCCAATATATAAAAATTTTATAAAATAACAAAAACACCCCCCACCCGCAAGGGCCAGATTCCGGCCACCACCGCCGGAATCTAGCCGGAAAGTTGCGTTACGACATAGACCCGTCGGATTTGTGTCGTAACGCGTCGATCTGGCCTTTTCCGGCCAGATCCGTGGCTGATCTGGCCGGAAAAGGCCAGATCTATGGCTAGTCTGGCCGTCGACGCCGCAAAACTCCATCTGCGGCGTCGAAGGCCAGATCGCGGATCTGGCCGGAAAAGGCCAGATCTGCACGTTACGACACAGATCCGACGGATCTGTGTCGTAATGCAGTTTTCCGGCCAGATTCCGGCGATGGTGGCCGGAATCTGGCACTGGGGGTGGTGGGGGTGTTTTTGTCATTTAGCAACCTTTTATATATGGGGGTGTTTAATTACATTAGCAAACCTAGGGGGTTTTTTAGAAATTTTTAAATTTATAAAAAACAAAAATTGAAACTTTGAAGGGCATTTTAGTCTTTTCACTATTAATAAACAAAAATCATTAACAGAATATAACGGAAGGTACCTATTTGTTGTTTTAAAACTTTTTAGGTATTAACTTATCGTTATGGTAAACTTTGGGTATGCACTAGTCGTTCGGCCTTCTATATATGTTGTGTGTAGAATTTAATCACAGAATTTCTCTTATTTCCCTCTCTCTCTCTCTCTCTCTCCGTTACATGAAGTACACAAAGAAAGCCAAGAAAAGAGTGATCTCAAACCCTAAGAAAGGGTGTTACAAAGACCGGCATGCAAAGGTGGAAGGACGAGATTGTCGCGTGCGGTTGTCAGGGCTCACGGCTGCCCGCTTCTTTCAACTGAGTGATGAACTGGGTCATCGCAATAACGGGGAGACCATTGAATGGCTCCTTAACCACGTCCCTCCCTACCACTTTCCTAATTCTAATGTCTCATCTTCTACTTGTACTTCAACTTTAGACGCCAATTTGCGATTAAGCTTAGGAAGTGCAAGAAGTTCGGTTGTCTCTTCTTCTTCGAATAGTAAAGCAGCGGTAAAGGAAACGAATATGGGTTTGAAAGAAGAGGATTTAACGATGGGGAGTGAGTTTGAGACGTATAATGCAACTGGAAACGCTTCCTTCGTATCACTGTTGATGCAATTTGATAAGGTCGGGGGAACCAGTTTAATTTAAATTTTGTTCTGCTTTGGGTTATTTAATATATTAATACAGGTTTTATGGTGATTTATCTCTTGTAATGGGGTTCTAATTCTATGATAACCCCTATTTGAAAACGCAGAAACAAATGGACCTCGGATTGAATAGTATCAAATCCTCCCTCAAGTTACTTAATTTTCTATTAATTACATTGACTCTACACGAGGAATTGTAAATACGTATTGGTACGAGAAAGCCACAGGTTATACTATGGCGTAGTAATTATTTTAAGTATAATTCAATATTTATGGCGTAAATTCGTCAGGATTATTCATGCCAAGTTTCACCCAATTTAAAAATTATTATTCATATAAAATGTGTTTAATGCGACACATTCGACTGACTAACTTTTTTGTACTATACTGCTGACCATTTATCTAACAAAAGACTGTCAACAGCAACATTTCGCCAAAAAAGGGTGAAAAAATAAAAAAAGTTGGCCGAATCTGCGCTGTAGTGGGGAACCAATATGGAATATGAAATCTGCCATTAACTATAGTTTAGTGGAAAACCGGTCCAGGAATATTATGAAACCAAAGGGAAGCTTATTGACATACTGGGTACAATTAAAGAACTGCAAATTTTTTCCTAAAATTATATCAGAGAATGTTAGCTAGTTACAATGGGGGATGATAGTGCAAGTCTATGAAGATTTGATGGATTAATTCTTTGTGCTACATCAAGTGTTTTTTATGTACCAGTTAGTTTGGTCTTTTTTTTGGGTAAACGGGGTGTTTGGACAGTTTGTACATACTTCAACTAATCTACAAAATCTATTGAACATTGTACAAACCTAAAAGATCAGGTAAGTTATAATATTATTATAGTAAGTAACACCAAAGTTTGAACCAAAAAAGAGTAAACCTTCTTAACAGATAGACCAATCCCGTGAGATTAGTATACTTTTAATGAGTTCATTAGTTGATTTTGATCTCTTTTAATATATGATTAATGGAACCCTAAGGGGATTTTCTTCATTGATTTCATGGATTCAAATCGTCTTACGACTACCTACCATAGTTGTGGTTTACCTTAAAACATTTGTTTTGCTTATTTCCTTTTTACTTAAAAAAAAAAAAAAAAAAAAAATGTATGATGAATGGAAGATTCATTTAACTACTTACTGTTTATGTGAATTATGAAATACAATTTTGAACTCTTCAGCACCATTCCATTGCGCAAGCATTATGACCTAAGATCACTGCACTTGTTAATATATGATTTGTAGCTTCACCTAATTGATGCCTAAAACGGAAGAGGATTTTACTAAAACTTTTTAAATTGATATAACATTATTATATCTTTTTTAACCGTATGCGATGGCAGAGCAACTTCTTTTTAGTGCTGTTCAACATGTCATTGAAAGTGTTGAGGAGATTATGCAAATGCTCATCTTCATCATGAAAATATGCGGCTTCAAATTTAGTAAATAAGTCTCAGGAAACAAAAAAATCTCTCGAACACAACAGTGCAATCTCATATTTGATATGAACAGTATATATTTACATGCAAACATTTCCTATAAAAAATAAACAATCTGGAAATACCAGCACAGGCAAGCTTGTCTCAGACCATTACTAAGGCAAACAAGTGCCAGCGATTAGAACCAAAAAAAAAAAAAACCCAGTACAAGCAAACATCACTCTAAGCTAGCCAACCAAACCAATCTTCTTTCTGCAGACATTGCCATAAACATCTCTCTCCAGTCCACATCCTTAAACATCTTGATAGCCTTTATGTAGGTGCTCCCATCAACACCTTCAATGGATTCTAGACACTTGACACAATTGGTAATAGAGAATGCATTTGATTGCGGAGATGCTTCACTTCTGATGAAGATTGGGGTTATCGGTTTTGTAACTTCAGTCCATTCTCTCAAACCTTCTACAATATCTAGTGTTCTTGCCTCTCTTTTCCCTCCAAGGTAACTTGAAGGAGTGGGTGATCTTAGGTGGTGCAGAGAATTCTGTGACGTATAATCTTTGTCATCACCACTTTCACATGGGAATCCTGATGGGGTAGCGTTTGTCGACGTATCTTCTAAATCAATGTTATCTTCCTTCACAAAGGGATACTGAGCCAATGGAAATACATCTTTGTACTTCGGAGATGGGTTACCAAAAATAACTCCCAATTCATTGAACATTGAACATCCTTTTTTCTGGAATCTTTTGGCCTTTTTGTTTACCTACATCAGAGAATAAAACAACTTAGTCATCTAGAACAGATTCCAAAAGCAACATTCATGCAGTTCCAGATTTTGAAACAAGAAGTTACCTTTAAGTATAATTCCCATATATTCTCAGGAGCACTGACAGTATTGAGCACAGGGTCCCAGTTAACCCCAGGTTCTTGCAATAGCTTACTAAAATCATGATAACGTGTCCTCAATTGGTTAAACTTGTTTCTGAGTTGACAATTGTTGTACCTCTTGCTAGTTCTTGCACGAAACTCTTGCTCTATGCTTTTCCAACCTTTCCTTGAAAAGGTTGTTGTAGATCTATTTCCTTTATGAACCTCTTTAACCATGAGCTGGATGAAAATTTTCTCCTCCAAAACTGTCCAAGTGGCAGGGTCAGCCTCAGTTTCGATTTTTATTCCATCCACTTCAGAGGCCATCTGCAAAAAGAACATGACAATATGATAGCTTGTTATGAAAAATTGATCAAGAAAAACATATCAAAGTACCCCATTTAGAAAAAGTAAAAATTAGTTGCAGAAAATTGCAAGTCAGCTGGGGATTGCTACAACACTTCTCTTATTAGTCCAGTAATCAACAAAGAGAGAAAAATCATAAAAAGTGCAACTTATATCTATATAATTGCCCAATAAACCAAATTCGTTCCCTATCAATTTAACAAGTTGTTACAATATATGAAAAGTGTAAAAAATAACATCAATCTCAATCCAATCTCCCTCAGAAATTAGGTCAACTGCCCTATCAGACTTCAGGAGATGAAATCATGACACAACAGGTGGCCATCAATCTTGGGCTGGCTAAGACATGACCTCCTGTTTTGAGATAAGAAAATGAAGGGAATCAGGTTTTGACATACACGCAACAAGCACCTATAATTGATGAAGATACACAAGTTTTAATAAATTATTATTGTTTTACTTAGAAATTGAAGCTGAGGAACAAGGGAAATAATTTCATATATTTTATACATGGCCAAATGGTAAGGTAAGAAACTGCAAATACATTATTCTCATTACAAATTTTGAACACTGTCAGATAAACAAAAGAGAAGACCAAAGATCACTCATCCTACTCTAATTGGTGAAGATACAAAAGTTTTCAATCCTGCAGAAAACAGTTGCCATAAGATCTACACGAGTGCTCCCAGTTGATCAGTAAGATCAAAGTCTCTGTCCAGAAGTATGGCAACTTTCTTTCCTCCATTCTGTGCTGGAAAGGTTTTGGAACAATTCCCAACAAGATCATAATTGGAAGTTCCAGTCAACCCATACATAGAATTGCCTCATGAAAAATCATAATTTCCAAAAGTCTCAGATCATTGGAATTTCAAAGGGAAAAGCACAAAAAAGTAGCTTTATGCTCCCTTTGCATATTTATTTCCTCTTGCAACTTTAGTCATCATTCTTCAGAATTTTCTCATCCATTCTTTCATTTATGTTAAAATCCAAAACAAAAAAAATCTAATACGTCCCTAAGTGTGTATATTTGAACCAATATTTCTCTGTGCCCAGACAGACAACCAGTCTTGAGTTACAAGACTCTGTATGTGCTTGTTGACAAAGCAGCCAAATAACCATCCTTGATAGCATGAAACTATATAAATAGAAATAACATTTTGAAGGCACAAGAAAAAGTTTCAACTGAATTTTTCTAAAGCCTTCAAAATAGCAAAAGACACAGTGCCTAAAAGGTATCTTATATATTAAAACTAAACTTTCTGATTCAGTTGTCAACACAATTGCAAACTCATACACCACAAGAAATAAACTTACATCCGACAATCTCCTTTATCTATCAAGCCAAATTCTCTTACTTCTAAATAAACGGATCATATATACTTTTCTTGTTCATAAATTAAAAATTTACAACTATATATAACCAAAAAACAACACAATTTAAAATAAGCTTCATGAAATTCTTACTGAAAAATAGAGCATAGGCAACCTGAGCTCAAATAATCATAAGTAAACTATTTCCTAATTATTCTGAAACTAATCTTATAACTACGCTCACACATATAGTTCATACATCAAATAATTTTAACCATACAGAAAAAATCACATAGTAAATAATTACTTACACATAACATTCACGAACAAATGCATTAACAGCAACCCAATAAATTATAACAACAGGGTCACAAACTTAATAAAAGAAGTCGTGCGATTGACCATAGCTGGAAGTAAATTAACAAATACAGATATTAGTCAAAGTATTCGCCCCCGAAAATAAGTTCAACTCAGAAACAAACTTAAAGCAACCATGGAAAACGAAAGTAATTCCAAAAGACATGGCAGCATTCTCAAAACAATATGTTTTTAATCATTTCTACAACTTTCTTCATATTTTGATGTTGTAAATTAGTAATTGAAGCTTAAGAGAAAGAGAAGCACCTGGTATGCTTGTGGATTTGAAAAGGAAACCTAGCGGATTATCATTTCAAAGAACTGAAAGGAAGGGGAGCTTTTGGAGTGTTTTTGGTTTTGTTGGTTTGTTTTTGCTTTCACTTTTTCTGTTTTCAAAAGCTACTTTGTTGTTTTCTTGTTTCTGTTGTTTGATATGAGTATGACTTATGAGCTATGACAACAAAGTTCGACGTCGTTTCACTCTTTTGCGAATTAAAAAGCCCACTGAAATGATGCCGTTTGGATCAACAACTCAATAGTTTAAACGTTTTTAGAAAATTTTCATTTAAATAAATTTAAAAGTAAACAAAACGTTTTTGGTATGATTGTTTATGTGTCACATTAAAATTTAAAAATGACAAAAAGGTTCATATGCATTTGTTTATAAATATTTAATAAAGAACCTTTTCAAATCATATAACGTCAGCTCATTATCATATTAAAGTTTAAGGTACATTAATTACATATATTAGATTTAATTCTAATAATTAGTATTTTTTTTTTTAGGATTCAGTATGGTGGTATAGAATTTATAATTTATATTATAACGTTTTAAATGTTCAATAAATGATATGATATACGACAATAAATTAAAAGAGTAAAATAATTAATTTAATATGGAAAAACTACATGTGAGCCCTTATTCTAATTATAAAAACAATGTTGATTGAAGACTTTTTTTTCTTTTTATGTCTTCTATCAACATTAATGCCGTAATACAAACTATTCATATAAATCGATATGGTATTATATATAATTTTAGAATTATAAATAAAAAAAATTAATGTAAATCATTTAGTATATAATGTGGCACACCAATTTATGTGAATTAAATTTCTGTAATTGTAACAAAACTACAGAAGACTGATGTTCGAAGATGACAATGTAAGATAACACCAATTAATGATTGACAGATCCATTAATAAAAAGTTTTATTGAACAAATAATTTATTTTCATAAGTTTCAAGTAATGGTTTGTTTTTTATTTTTTATTATTGTTATTATTATTATTATTATTTACAATCAAGGAAGAAAGAACTAAAAAATACCTAGATAGCTAATAACTTAATTAATTGAAAGAATATTGCTTACCTTTTATCCAAGATTCCAACTCAACATCCACAAACAAAATTTGAATCAAATTATAAAACATTAATAAAAATATAAAACAATTAATAGAGAAGCCATTTTTAATTAGTGCACTTATATATTATTTATAATAACTATATACAATTGTTAGAAATCACAGTACAAATTATTTTTACAGGTTATATACATTCACGTGGCTTGTAAATTACCATTAAGCCAAATTTAATCAACCACCACTGAATAATTTGATAGTAAAAGAGTAAAATAAAGTTTTACGAATTCTTGAGTTCGAGTCTCTCAAACACTAATAGGGTGGGCTATTAGAATTCTTACCAAGCAGATAATTCTAGAGCTTCAGATGATTAGTTGATATGCACGTAAGCTAGTGTAGACACCTCGATGATAAAAAAAAAAAGAAAAAAAAAAAGGCAAGTTTAATTCAGATTTAGGGTGTATTTAGTAAGTAGATTTTGAATTTTTTGCATAAAATTAGAAATAACTCATGCAGATTCATACATTCAATTCTTTGGTATCTATAAACGGTAACAAAATAACTACCACACCTTTGAGGCTGTGACAAGATATTACCCACTGGATTCCATCATGATGACATTACCTTCAATCCAACGGTCTCAGAAAAAGGAAAAATGCACTCTTTATTTTACTTCACCTTCGCGTTACTATGAAGCAACTAAAAAATTTTCATTCAACATTTTCAAGAATCACCACAAAAATTAAGTTTAATACATTTAACCCCCTGGAGTTTAAAGTATGAGTATATATATCCCTGATTGAATGATTGTAACATATTAAGAAAAAATAGGCAGTCAGGCAAATCTGAACTTTAAAAACTGACATTATCAAAATGAGGGGTATTCCCATATGTAAACAATAAAAACTTTCCTAATTAACCGATAATGTAAACATTTGTTAAATTTAAAGGAGTTAGAAGGCAGTATTTTAAAATATAGGACCTAGAATAAAAACCAAAACCTCAAAGTAAATAAAGTCTTTCTCTACCACAAAATTACACCAAACCAAACTTTTTCAGTCAAAATCTAAAAAAAAAAAAAAATCTCTTTCACTCTCACTCTCACTCTCTTTCTCTTATCTTCTCTCGCTATATATAAAAAAAACCCTACCTAGCTTGCTTCTTTCATTGCAACAATCAAAGAAGATAAATCTAGAGATGAGTCTTGAAGCCTCGTCATCAAGGAAAGCTAAGAAGGAAAAACCATCGGTTTCTGTAAACGCAACCAGTACCTCAAAAACCAACAAGCTTGTAGCCCGCAAAACACGCAAAGATCGCCATGCAAAGGTGGAAGGCAGAGACAGGCGTATCCGATTACCTGCTCTGTGTGCCGCACGGATCTTTCAGCTAACTCGCGAACTGGGTTACAAGACTGATGGCGAAACCATTGCGTGGCTCTTGCGCAAAGCTGAGCCATCGATCATTGCGGCTACTGGAAAAGGTGTTAATAATCCTTCTGTTCCTGTAAATGTCCGTAAAGATAATTTGGTTCCTGCTATTGTTGCTCCGAGCCCACCTTTGCTTTTGGATTTGAGTGCGCCTCCTTTGAGTTATTGTGAGGCCAAACTCTTTCCTCGACAGGATCAAGGAATGTTAAAGAATATTTCTGTGGGTTCAAGTTCGAGGGCTGTCAATGATATTGATGAACCCGCATTGTCGTCTTTTGAGTTTGACATGATTGCAAATTTTGATATGGCGTTTACTGTGAACGAGATGGCCATGTTCGAAACGGTGCTGCCGGAGAATGACGAAAACGAGGAGAATTCAGAGGAGTAATCAGAAGAAATATAAAGCTGCATGTTCTATGGATATATAACTATGTAGTTCTTTTATCTTAATAGGCTTTCAGTTTCAGTACTAGTTGTGGCGTTGTATGTTTCAGGTTTCATATATGTATTAAATATAAAAAAGAGAGGAAAAAAAAAGTGTCTCATGTATGTTTTTATATGAATGATCAAATGGTTACATATTATGGATCAAAATCATGTATGGAAGCAACAGACATCATTTTAAAAGCATTTTCAAAATTACTCAATTTGATGTTTGACAACTTTTTCTTTCTTCCATTTTCGGTAGAAATCATTAATGTTTCAAAATTTAGCCTTGTGTATAACTACAAACTCCTTGATATATATGTTATGGAATTGATTGATAATTACTGGGTTGAGGAGTGAACTGCCATAGCCAATCAATATGCTAAAAAGGAAGAAAAATATTATTTAGAAGAAGACGAAGGGAAAGAAGAAAGAGTATAGTACGTAGATGTTTATCTTTAGTCTTGTTATTAGCATCATTGATTCTTTTTCGTTAATTTTCTGTCATAAAGTTTCAGATTCGGGTTGTCCAATATGGGTAATTAGCTACACGTTGCTGATATTAGTGCTGCATGCTAATCAAAGTTTGATGCCAACTCAATTTGCTTTGTCATTGTGCCTCGATTTTCACAGGACTGGCTGGAAACAACCTGCAAATCCAGTCACCTGATTAATATTAGGGTTGATTTTGTTGTGATTTACTTTCCTAATATGTGAGGCTTCTCATTGCACACTTAAATGCAATCGCCAATCAACTATTGCCATAACACTATTATTTCATATGGCATAATAATGTAGTTGATATATTCATTAATAATGTTGTAAATGACACATTAATGCTTTTTATTTACGAATGATACAGACCTCACTCAATGAAACAATTCCAGTCAAAGTTCACCCAAACAAACAGTTCATCAATCACAGATTAATAAGAATAATCCAAATACTTGCATTGAATTTAAAGGGAAAACAATACAGCAATATAGAAGCAATAGGATGAGAGGAAACAGAGTGCTAGCAGTTTGAGGAGCTAGCGACCTCCCATTGATAATTCCCTAAACAAAATAATAACTGTCCTTCACGAGCTAAGCCCCCCCTTAATATTCACAATTGATCTCTTACTAATTCCCACTCAATCTTGGACACGTGTACTCTAGCCTAACTAACTAATTTCCATTGCCATTATTCACACCCAACGTCCTCCTTCCTTGCCTGATATACTTCTTATTAACGGGTGGCCTATCAATAACAACCCCCCCACCCCCCAATCATGAAGTGCCACCTTGTCCCTAAGGTGGAAGTGAGGAAACTAGAGGTCAATGACTTCATAGGATTCCTAGGTGGCTTCAAAAGGAGGAAGATCCTGCCACTTAATCAAGACCTCTTGAGAGCCATCCAAAAGAGTGCGGGAAGAGAGTACCGCTTCCGGTTGAACTAAGAGCTCCAAGTCCTCAGTTAGACATGGAGGCAAGGTCTGAGTTGGGACAGAACTATGGAGGCTTTGCTTCAGTTGCGAGACATGGAAAACTTGGTGAATGCGGGCTGTATCTGGCAGGCCCAACTTGTAGGCGACATAACCAATTTTCTCAAGCACCAGAAATGGACCATAGAATCGGGGACTGAGTTTCTCGTTCAATTTCCTCGCCAAGGACTTAAACTTATAGGGCTGAAGTTTAAGATAGACACAGTCACCAACCTTAAAAATTGAGATCTCTGCGATGAGCATCAACAGTCTCTTTCATGTGTCCCTATGTGACCAATAGGTTGTTCTTGAGATCATTAAGAATAGCATTTCTCTCCGACATCTGTCTATTAACATCTTCCACCAGAGAAGGGCAATCAGTGAACTTAAGAAGGGTGGGCGGTGCTCGACCATAGAGAGTTAGGAAGGGAGTCATCTTGGTTGAGCTGTGGTATGTAGTGTTGTACCAAAATTCAGCCCAAGGTAGCCAGCGAGACCACTGTCGAGGTTGGGAATTGCAGAAACAACGGAGTTACGCTTCGATACATCGATTAACTACCTCAGTTTGCCCATCTGTTTGAGGATGATAGGCAGAACTAAACTTCATAGATGTGCTTGCTACCCTGAATAACTCTTGCCAAAAGTGACTCATAAACACTTTGTCCCTATCGAATACAATTGATTGCGGAAAGCCATGTAGCTTGACTACTTCTTTCACAAAGATGTCAGCCACCTCTTTAGCATTGTAAAGGTGGGATAGTAAGATGAAATGTCCATACTTGGTCAGGCGGTCAACTACCACAAAAATGGTGTCATAGCCCTTGGCCCTAGGCAAGCCCCCAATGAAATCCATAGTAAGGTCCTAAAAAACCTAATTAGGGATGGATAAGGGCTATAGGAGACCCACTGGTTTCAATGCCGAATGCTTGTTGGTTTGACATATAGTGCAAGATTTAACAAAGTCCTGCACATCTCTTTTAATGCCTTCCCAAAAGGCAATTCCTGCCACTTTCTTATATGTTCAAAAGAACCCGGAGTGACCACCACTGGGCTGGAGTGGAACTTATAGAGCAGCTTAGAAATATAGATTGAAGACTTAGGGAGCACCAATCGACCTTTGTACAACAGACAACCTTTTTAGAGCTCATAGTTTGGCCGACTACATGGATCAAACAATAGATCTTGCATGATTTTTTGGAGCTTGGGGTCTTGCTGGGCTTCTGCATCGTATTATGTGAATTGTACTACCGAGAGGGCCTGGTAGTTCACTTATTTGTCACACCGAGATAAGGCATCTGCAACTTTGTTGGTGTTCCCGAGATAATATTGGATCTCAAATGTAAAACCCATGAGCTTGGAAATCCATTTTTGCTGTTCTGGCGTGTTCATCCGTTGATAAAGGAGAAATTGAAGGTTGCGTTGGTTAGTTTTGATTATGAACTTGCGCCCTAGGAGGTAGTGACTCCACTTGCGTACTACGAACACTATGGCCAATAACTCTCTCTCATAGATGGACTTCAGTTTGGATTGAGGAGAGAAGGCTTTGCTCAAGTGTGCTACTGGTCTGGATTGTTGAACTAGGACTACCCCAGGTCTTTGCCCTAAAGCATCTGTGTGAATTTCAAATGGGAGGTCAAAATTGGGAGTTGCTAATATTGGGACCATAGTCATGGCTGTCTTCAACTGATTGAAAGACCTTTCTACTTCTTCACCCCAAATAAAAGAGTCATTTTTTAACAGTTGTGTAAGGGGTTGTGCAATGGTGCCATAGCCTTTAAAAAATCTCCGATAGTACCCTGTAAGCCCCAAGAATCCTCTCAAACTCTTTACATTTTTCGAGACTGACCAAGCTAACATTGCTTCGATTTTTTTATGGATCTGCCTCTACCCCAACCGCAGACACCAGAGGGCCTAAGTATTCAAGCTTCTTCTTATTGAAGTTGCATTTCTTGCAGTTAACTACCAGTTTATGATTATGTAAGAGCTCAAAAGCTCGAGTAAGGTGTACTATGTGGGTATCCATGTCTGAGCTATAGATTAGAATATCATTAAAGAAGACCAAGACATTTGCGAAGGATTGGTTTGAATACGGTGTTCATAAGGGATTGGAAGGTGGAGGGTGCGTTGGATAAATCGAAGGGCATCACTAACAATTCATAGTGACCTTCATGGGTCTGAAAGGCAGTTTTTGGAACATCCTCCTCTTTGACTCTGATTTGGTAGTAACTCGATTTCAAGTCCAATTTTGAAAAAACAATTGCTCCTACTAACTCGTCCAAAAGCTTATCGATCGTTGGGATTGGAAACTTGTCCGTGATGGTGAGGTTGTTAAGGGTCATGTAATCCACACAAAACCTCCAACTGTTATCCTTCTTCTTAACCAATAAAACCAGACTTCCAAAGGGATTGTTGCTGGGCTGTATGATGCCAGCCGCCATGTAATGACTCTCTTTCTAGCTAGTATACTCGTAAAATAACAGTAAAAACTCATTAAATATATATAAGGAAATACATAAACGAGTATCAAAGTATAGGCCCGTATTTAATTTTCTTTATAAACAAAACTTTACATAATACAAATAAGTCTCAAAATATTAACTTGACAGTTTTGCCCAACCCTTTCCACTGCGTGATGATCCAAGTGACCGTATTTCACCTGTTACCTGCAAAAACATTGAAAACAATGGGGTGAGCACTAATTGCTCAGTAAGTAAACCCGCTATGTTACTCTTCTCTTTCCTTTGCTTAACTTCTGAATTTCTTTCCTTACTTCACATTTCCCCATTCTTCTATATTCTTTCTCTACTCTTACTCTGTTCTTTCTCTATTCTAATTTCTCACTACTCAGATAATGGGCATGATATTATGCATAAATAAAATGCAAATGCTCAATTGTATAAAAGATGCATTTTCTTTTCTGTTTTTCATTCTTCTTAGTTTTTATTCTATTTTTCTTTCTTTTCTGTGCTTCTTTCTTTCTCTTATTTCTTTTCTTTATATTCTTTCTCATTCTTTTCTTTTCTTTTCTTTCTTATTCTTTTCTCTTCTTTCTTATTCTTTTCTCTTCTTTTCTTTTCTTATTCTTTTGTCGATCGGACTTGGTTGAGGCATGGATTTGGAACATTGGCCGTGTGAGTGTATTCTTCTTTCTTGGGTACAGCTCTCATCCACATGCACTCTTACGGACTGTACCAATTCTTTTTTCTTCTTCTTAGGCCGCTCACTAAAGGCGACATGCATGTGGGGAAAATTCTTGTCACTCACGGTTTCCCATTGCAACAACCTTTTCTTCTTTTTATCTTTTTACACTTCTTTAACTAAAATTCAGATTTGGAACTTTTTAATATTCTCATTTCTTTCTATTTAATCTTTAACATTCTTTAGTGCTTTTTCATGCTCTTATGAATATGTATACATGTAGATGGTTTCATACTTATATTTCTTTCTAAATTCACATGTTTAAATGCAATTATGTAATATGGAATGCAAACATGTCATTC